ACTTTTTTGCTTCTCCTCATTGATGTATCAATTCATAGTTTTCGGATATATATACCTGTTCAACTACGCTCAGTCATTCTGGCGGTTTTCAAAATCTACCCAGCTGCTTGAGTAACAGTTTTGTTAGACGTAACGTTAACATAGTAATGTAGTACTAGTACTTCTTCCTCTTACATTCTACCTCAGTTATTTAAGCTTGTGCATTTGGCTCATGCATGGGCAGTATGTGAATATGCAGTAAACTTCATTATCATTGTCATTAATTCTTTTTATCTTTCTGTACCCAATCCTAGTTTTTCGGTGAAAGTATATCAACATGGCCGAACACTCTAAACGGCAGCTGGATCCTTGGAAAATGCCTGACATTCGCTACAAGAAAATGTTCGCCGACAACAACCAGGGTGATCCCGGGAACGAGTGGACTCTAGGCGAAGACAATTTTTATGGGGACGAGTCGAGACTCCTGCGGGAAGACAACAATTCCGGGAACGAGTCGAGCAGCGCTGAGGAAGACCCGGGAACGAGCAGCACCGCAAGGCTCAAGAAGACAAACTGGGACAAAGGGTCGAATTACTCTTTATTAAGCAACCTCAGTGAACGCGAAACTTCTTCCGACTTCGAGGACAAGACTGTAGATCATCTTAGTGGAAGCAAAACTTCTTCCATCCTTTATGGCGAGATTAAGACAGAAGCTCATCTGAGTGAAGAAGGTGAAACCTCTTCCATCTTTGAGAACAAGACAGAGGTTCCTCCTAGTGAACATGGAACTTCTTCCGACTTTGGGGACAAGACAGAAGTTCCTCATAGTGAACATGGTCATGGAACCTCTTCCGACTTTGGGGACAAGACAGTAGTCCCTAAAGAACAAGACCATAGCTTGGAAAGCTATCCTGCAAGAGCCCGCAGTCCGCTAGAAAGTTGGTCGTCTGCACATTCCTTGATCAGCGTCGACGAAAAGGCGACGGCAAGTCCTTCCCAGCAAACCCACTTCGCGGTAGAAATGGACAGTCCCCTTTCCAAGACACGCGACGCGACCGTCGTGAAAGAAGAACAAGGGTCGTGGAAGCAGAGCAGGAGTTCGTTGGATAGCTCAACGCGACTGGACACTGGGAACGTGCAGGCGAGTACCGGAAGGTCCAGGGAACGAGTCTCAAAAGAACTGACCGGAAATGGCTACATCCGCACTTCTGACGTAGTCCCAGTGATATTAGACGGTGAGCCCATCCATAACCTACTATAAAATGATTTTTTTCTTGGATCTCGTATCAATCAATTTTTCTCTCTTTCTACGTTTACTTGCAAGTGCACAATGTCAATGAAGTTTGCAAATGCACAATTAAGTTTTGAGATACCCGCCATAAGGATCTGGGCCATCCATGCTGACCTTACATTGAGAGTAATAAACAAAAACAATTGCTCTGATATCTAGACATTAGTACATACAATGTGTGTGTCCTTAGAGGCTCTCATGTACACATTTAAAAGTATGATTTTTTTAAAAACTTCCTCTTGTCGCTCCTCTTAGACGATTTTCCTGGGGGCAGAGAGAAGAAGGAGTCCGTCCCTTCCACATCGGCGGGGCCCCGGGAGGGCGCCGGGCGGGACCCGCTCGGGTACGACATCTTCGCCCGGAGTATCGCGGAGGTGGTGACGGACGAGCGGACGGAGATGCCGCTCACCGTGGGCGTGTACGGAGAGTTCGGCATGGGAAAGACGCACCTACTCGGACAGGTCAAAGGTGAGAGTTCTATGGTTACCATAGCAACGATAGGATGTCACCATAGCAACGGTAGAATGTAGAGATGCCGCTCACCGTGGGCGTGTACGGCGAGTTCGGCATGGGCAAGACGCACCTCTTAGGGCAGGTCAAAGGTGAGAGTTCTATGGTCACCATAGCAACGATAGAATGTCACCATAGCAACGGTAGAATGCTCGGGCACAGTTCTGGATAGTCCACGTGTATCCTCAACCGTGCCTGGAGGCAGGCCTATGTTCTTGGATACGCGGAGACTATCTAGAACCGTGCCTGATCCTAACCCCACCTCACGCATTCAGGCATGGTCAAGACCCACCCCCTAGGGCAGGTCAAAGTTGAGAGTTCTATTATCGTCACCATAGCAACGGTAGAATGTGAGTGTTCTATATTCGCTATGGCAACGGTAGAATGGCCTTAATGTCTTGTGTGGTTGTATGACCTGTGCATGTGTAACGTTACATGTAGTTGAATCGAGTTGGCAACACATGGGTGGGGGGGATTACTTAACCACAAAAGGTCAGACACAGGAAGTTAGGTGTCGGGCACTGATCGAGACCCAGCAGTAAGTTGACCAAGGCGCCTAGCCTATTGACAGGGTACCAGTGGAAAAACGCTTAAACTTTCCCGCCTTTTTTCAGACGAAGTGGACGCCATGATCGAGAAGAAGAAGACAGATTACCAGGACTACTACAAAGGCGAAGTCGACGGAATGAAACAGAACCGGAAACGGAAACAGGTCACAGAAACGAACACGCGCTTTCCCGTCGTCCGCTTCTCCGGCCTGATCGTGGTCTTCCTCCTGTTGCTAATAGCAACGGTGGTCTGCGCCGTGTACAACCAGACAGGATGGAAAGCGCTGCTAGTGTGTACCGTACTGGCTTTTGTAGTGTTGGTGGCATCTGTGAACCACGCCTACGGAAAAAGCATTCGTCGGTGTTGTGGTAAGAGGATTTCTGCCCTGCAGAGAGCCAGCCACATGCACTGGATGGTGGGGGTGTACATGGACTGGCTGGAACCCCCGGTCATGTCCGAAACGCCACAGGCCGAACGTTACGAGGTGAGACGTCTTAAAAAATACCTTGAGGATTCTTGAAGTTCTGAACGAATTCTGTTTGTCTTTGAACGGACCGTAATAGAGTGGAATCTAGTTAGCGCAACATCAACTGATCAGTTCAAAGCTGGGGTGGCCAAGTACTATGGCCTCCCCAGCGCCACACATTAGCCACATTTAGCCATGGGCGACTACTTTGTACATACCACAGCATCGCTTTTTCTTTTTGATTTTGTAGGTAGTGCACCAAATATTTTGACATATTATTGCCTCACTTTTTTTGTCTTTGCACCAACATCACCGGTCGCGACAAGGCATTGACCCCCTCGACGTTACACCCCGCGAGGGGCATTGTCCACTATTGTATAGAAACAGAAAACCATGCTGATCCTATCTTTCGTTACCTAGGTGATCTGGGTGCACTTCAACGCCTGGGAGTTCTCCGGCTGCAAGGTATTGTGGGCCGGTATCGTCACTACTCTGTGTGACGCCATCGAGGCCAAGATCGGGGCGACTCCGGCACGGTTCTACCGCGTCATCAAGGTGTGTATACGTCACGAGTTCGGTGAAAACGTCATCTATACATGTATACACGTCACGTGGGAATAGCCACTGCTATTTTTACTTTAAGATAATATTTTTTCAATAAGACACAACTACCAACTTTTAGTTCATATGGTACTACAGTTTGGCAGCTTGAAGTATGATTTGCAAAAGTTCTGCCATGCCTAATTGTTGTTATATTTGTAAACATGTATTATGTAAATGCTGACAAGAGAAGTGTCCATTAGCAAGCGAAGTGTCCATTAGCCACTGAAGGTGGATACTGTTTGTCTGATATTACGTTTAAGGACAACATTGTTTCTCATTCAGCTTCGGTAAAGCATCACAAATTTCTCTTCTTCTCTTCCAGGGCCAAGTCGAAGGCTGGAGCGGTACCAGTAAGAAGCCCCTTCTCCGATGCGCCTGGTTTCAGGTCCTCCTGGCTGTCGTGCTCGGTGTCATCCTCTCGACACTCGTCGGCATCTTCGTGTTGGAGGAAGGAACTCAACAGCTCACGGCACTCATCTCTGCGGGATCTAACGTAGGTGACAGTTGGATGACTTGCCTAACGATATATGCCTTCAAATAGTTTGCATTTGCATGCACGGGAAAAAAACAGCATATGACATGTAAACAATTTGCTAGTGAAAGCAGTGTCCTCAAAAGCTCGGGACATATTAGTATGTATCACATAGTCTTACGAATTGGTAGATCTTTTAGAATTTGTAACTCTCACTGCAAGCACTTGGCATGATGAGGCAAGTTCGACCATTTGTAACAGAGACCACTGTAGTAACTTTGTATTACACATGCACAGTGGCTATTTTTCATCCCCACTTAACTTACAACTGTACATTGTGGGATTATCATTGCACTGATCTCTACGGCATCGCAGCTCCTAGGCCTGGGCATCGTCGTCAACATCAAGAGCTTCTTCAAGATTGCCAAGAATCTGCTCAAGTCTCAGAAGGACGTCTTGAAGAGCCAGATGAAGAAGCCGGACTTCGCCGAGCAGCTGGGCTTCATGTCACAGGTCTGTATCTGTGTCACCAAACGACTTTGCACATCTAACTCCAGGAGTTGTTCAAAGATTTCTAGCGATGATGCCCCAACAGTGCTTGATGGCAAAGAGTTCCAGTGTACGATAGTTCTTCAGTTTTTGAACACTTCACTCCTTGGTTGATAACTCAAAGAAGCCACGTGACAAGCCCCATTGGGTCAGTCTACTGAGGAAGACCAGAGTGACTGGTCGAAAGATCTAGGTGAGAGAACTTTTTTGTGTTGGATCAAAAGTTTTAACTTTTCTTTTCTGGACTTTATAAGGTCAAAGGGGAAGTGCAGACGGTGACGTCACTCCTGCGGTTCCTGGAACACGTGACCGGCGTCCAATACCGTGTGATCATCGTGGTGGACGACCTTGACTGTTGCCCGGGCGACCGTGTGGTGGACGTGCTACAGGCCATGAACATTCTGCTGTCCGACCAGGAGGCCAACTTCGTGTCCATCGTCGCCATGGACCCGAAAATCGTGGTCAACTGTCTGGAAAGCCACCTCACAGAGACCATCATCAACAACTACAGCGGGTATGTCACTGGTGATTTGTATGTAATTATATATATGCATATTGGAAAGGTTGGAAATGATACATACTGGTGCCCTGAGACCCAGAAAAGACATTGAAGACACATTGAAGCCGCATGTGTGTGAGTGTGTGTGTGTGTGTGTGTGTGTGTGTGTGTGTGTGTGTGAGTGCGTGTGTGTGTGAGAGAGAGAGAGAGAGAGAGAGAGCGAGAGAGAGAGGTCGACGTCCCAGTTAGAGATCTGGCAGAATATTCAACATTGCCGGTAGAATTCCCGTGCTTATGTGTCTGTTCTTATGTTACAGATACGAGTACTTGAAGAGGATCGTGCACGTGCCCGTGTGCCTTCCCGAGCCGAACGTCGGGAACCGGCGGGACCTTCTCCGCGAGGTCGTGCGGGGCAAGCCGGGCATCATCACGAGCGAGTACCCTTCCGCCACCTCCCCGGGCAGGATCTCCTTCAAGGCCGGGAGCAAAGCGCGCCAGAAGCTCCTGATCGACAGTCAAGGTCAGTGGACGAGGAAGTGTCTGTCAGCGTTACCGGATGCGCAGGGTGACCTTGAGGTCCAAGATGGCGACCGTAAGATCCAAGATGGCGGCCGCGTGGCAAGGAAGTGTCTGTCAGCGTTATTAGAGGCGCCGAGTGACCTTGAGATCCAAGATGGCGGCCGTGAGTTCGAAGATGGCGGTCGTGAGATCCAAGATGGCGATCATGTGTTCCAAGATGGCGACCATGTGTTCCAAGGTGCTGATGACCAAGCCAATGCTGCAAACCGATGTCTAAAGGGAGCCGATTCGGCATTCGAAGATGGAGTAAACGGAGACCTCAACATGGACTTCCTTGGTGACGTCATCCAGGTCATGGTCCAAGACGACGATGATGACGACATCAATGACATCATGTTCTACGTCCGCGGCAACGCGCATCACATCACCGACATCTACCACGTCCTTGGAATGACCGTCAAAGTTCTGAAGCACAAGAAGCACCTGCAGTTCGTCAGCCCGCGCCAGGTGGCGTCGTGGGTGGTCCTGGCCGAGCAGTGGCCCTACCGGCTGAGCTGGGTACTGCAGTTCGTTGAAGACAGCCAACAGAACGAGAGTATAAGAGAACGCTCCCGCATGATGATTACTGACCTTGAGTCAACCCGAAGACTCAGCTTACTGGGACCTGCTGTATCTAAGTGAGTAACACTTTCCCATAAAGTATATCTAAACGTTTGAATAGAGGCCTCATTGTTAGCAATTTATCACGGAAACCCCACAGTTGTGTAAGTATCAAGTCTCTGGTCCTCTTGGTTTCGTGTTTTTAGTATTTTTCTGTAAAACAAGCAATGTAGTGCATAGGGACCACCTGGTCATTAATATACAGTCAAACTTGCACAAGGACCACCTGGCCATTGATATAGTCAAGTCTGTACAAGTAATCACCTCTATATAAGGACCACCCCGCCATTGATATTATATATATATATATATATATAATTATATATCGCGGCTCATTGACATAAGAGTTAAGAAGTACCTAGTGACCAGTCCCCTAATCTGATTGGTCTCCAAGCAGATCTTTCGATGGCTGCAAAGACAGTATCAAATAGGTCAGACAGTATCCATTTGCCTAGGGTGGCGCACTGGATACTGCCTGGCCAACTTGAAATTGTGTACATCTACAGAATCTGTATCTGTATAGCCGGTATAACCGCCCTTCGGCGTAACACACCAGCTTCTGTATCTGTATAGCCGGTATAACCACCCTTCGGCGTAACACACCAGCTTCTGTATCTGTATAGCCGGTATAACCGCCCTTCGGCGTAACACACCAGCTTCTGTATCTGTATAGCCGGTATAACCACCCTTCGGGGTAACACACCAGCTTCTGTATCTGTATAGCCGGTATAACCACCCTTCGGCGTAACACACCAGCTTCTGTATCTGTATAGCCGGTATAATCGCCCTTCGGCGTAACACACCAGCTTCTGTATCTGTATAGCCGGTATAACCACCCTTCGGCGTAACACACCAGCTTCGCAGGTACGCGGAACGACTTGTTACACAGATTGTGACGGTACATCCACCTAATACATATCTGTTCCGTTGTATTCTCGCAGGAACGCCAGTCTGTTCAAAGTGTTTGAGAAGGTGAAGCTGGAAATGGCGCGAGTCGACGCGAAGGACTTCGCACGTCTCAACAACCTAGACGCCGACCCTGAGATGTTCGAGCTTCTCCTTGTCGAGTCAAGGTTCACCGTACAGGTGAGAAAAACCTTAAGACAGTTCATTATGGAAGGAAAACCTATCGTTTTTGCTCAGTTTCTTCCTCTTCTTCTCCAAATAAGTAAGGTCAATGACCTGAACCACACTTAATTATGTTTACCGAAGGAAAACATATTGTTTTTGCTCAGTTTCTTCCTCTTCTTCCTCTTCTTCTCCAAACAAATAAGGTCAATGACTTGATCCAGACGTACTAGTATATCACAATGGTAACTAGTGTTGGGTTACATTAGGTTGCAATTTTATAGCAGGAGAGATTTAGACTCCAGTCTGACCATATAACGGTTATATGAATGTGTTTGAGTAAGAATGAACAGAGCAGACCATATGCGAAGGTAAACATTATGCATTTGCTTTGCGACGTTACCTTTCTAGTTTTCAACTTAAGTTTTTTATGTCGTTTTTCAGGATATGATGACCTTACTCCCCTGTACCATCAACTTGGACTGGTCCATTCAGCGCAGAATCGCTGTGGCGAGAAGCCTTGCCGCCCGGGAGTGAGTGACGTCACTGAAGCCACTGTTACACTAATCTCCAAGCAGATCATACGGTGGTAAGGCAGTATCTGGCTAATGGATACTGCCTGGCCAATTTGATACTTATCTTTTGCGGCCACCGAAATATCTGCTCTTGGAGATTAATGTTACACATCAAGAACCGTGCCTAATAGTATCTAATTCTATGCCGTGAATGGTTTTGGGTTCTGGATAGCGTCTCCGCGTATCGTCGATTTACCCCAGGCACGGTTCTGGATACGCGTGGGCTATCCAAGACCGAGCCTGAGAATGGGTATGGATAAAGCACGGTTTTGGATACAACATTTAAGCCCTTTCTAGAACTTTGCTACCGACTACTCCCCAACCAAGGTCGGCGCTGTGTTGGGAGTAGCCTCGAATCTGTCCTATTCTAGCTAGATTTCACTCTTTTGATCGTTTAATTAGTCAATTTTAAGTCCATAGCCGACCAGATGAGCTCAGTACTTTTGAAAATTAGACGACCATCCTGGCGACCAAGTCCCAACCATTGATGGTCGTAGATAACAATAATACTGGTTTATTTGTTTCATGTAAAACCCCTAACAATGGTTCCCACATGGCAGTCACAGACTGAATTGCGTGGGGGTTCCATTAACAACAGTTGATATTCATACTACAAACATTAACGAACGATAACGAACGTTACGTAGTCATTTTAGACCGAGTTCATTTTTTATAATTTTTTTTGTATTTTTGCGATTACTTCCTGACTAGTTTTTCTTTTCTAATGTTTATTTTAGCATACTTTTAATTCTATATTCAAATTGTAAGCATTGGTTTTATTCCTGTATATAATTAAGCCATTAAGTGCATTAAACCAATAAATTGCTTATAGAGATAGTGGTCATCGTTTGTCCTTCTTTCTACAGACACTGACTCACACACACACACACACACACACACACACACACACACACACAAACAAACACTAACATACACTTCTCTCTCTGTATATTTAGCACGCCTTAACTAATCTCCAAGCAGATCTTTTTGTGGCTACAAGACAGTATCAAATTCCTAATACTGGCAAGACAGTGTCAAATACCCCACCCGTTTGGCTGTCAAAAAACATAACCGTACAAAAAAGGAAGCCCGATAACAACGGTTAAAACGCGTAAAATATTAACCTAAGCCTAAACAGTAAACCTCTGCTTGGAGAGTAGGTCTTACCCACATTTCAAAAGATAAGTATACTCTAAGTACGTACTTACCAGGACGGCGGACGATATAAACTACCAACGCAGATGAACTGTGGTTCGCCGAATGTTTTTCGCGGTTAGAACGGTTAAAACAAAAAAAAGTTGGAATGTGGTTTAGGCTGAGTTTGTGAATACCTTAAAAACGATGCTAGACCAGAGTTGGGAGCAGAACAGTACAAGGAGTGATAACAGGTGGCGTCTATATATAGTAAAACGTTAAACTTTATTCCAGCACACCATTTACAGAGATCAAATTTTCAGCGACCACTGTCGCCTTCATCAGGATAATCAATGACCAATCACTTCACAACGTGATCTCGCGAGAGTTACGGTTTACAAACACGTGACCTTATTCACACGAGACTTTACTGATACGTGACGTAAGCAATTGATCAAAAGTGCAAGGGAGTTTGATCTCTGTAAATTGTGTGTTGGAATAAAGTTTAACGTTTTACTATGATTACTACCAACACAGATGAATTTTCATGATAAGGTGGCGTCTATATTCACCTACGATTCTTCAAGGAATCTGTATCTGTATCTGTATAGCCGGTATAACCGCCTTTCGGCGTAACACACCAGCTTCGCAGGCACGCGGCGCGGCGGCAGAGGGAATGATAGTACTTACGGTTTGCTCTGGCAGGAGACGAAGCCGGTGCCGTCGCCGCGACACTCGCAGATGTAGCAGCCATCCTCGAACGTGTCGCCGACGTTGTACGTGTTCCCGTTGTGGATGCAGCCGTCTGGTAAAGAAAGACACGACGAGTAAAACAAACAGTTTGGGACGACGAGAGTAATATATTGGTAATGAGTGACCCTGTGATTTTTGCCATTTCATTGCCATGGCATCATAAAATTTTGCACATTAAATTTTCTTTTTGCAACGAGCTACTCGGAGAAAAAAATTAATAGCCATTCATAAGTCTAAGTAATATTTTTAAAACATCCTTAACTAGTAAAACAAGCAGGTTGGGACAAACATCTCTTGCTACTGCTTGGCGCTGTAATATTTCGTCATCATGACCCATTCGTTTTGTTAGACAGGGCACTAATTTGAAGTCCATTGATTTGCTTCATATAGCCTCGGTAATTATTCGTCATGTGTCAATCAATTTTCCTTAACCAATGGGGAAGCAGAACGTACCATACGTCATCCCTCCGGTCATCCCACCGGTCCCACCGTTCATGTCGTTCCTCTCAGGCCGGGCGGAGACCGCCACAAGCAGGGCGAACACAGCGAATACCCTGGGCAAGGGCACAGTAAGGACATACATGTAATACATTGTGACATGAAATACTAGTATGGCAAGGGTTTCGCGCTGGTGCGGAAAAGCTTTGTCTCCACTCAATCATGTCGTTGTGGGCCTTCGTAGGTTACCTATATGGCAGGGCGAACACAGCGAATACCCTGGGCAGAAAGACAAAGGGAACATTACAGCAAGGAGATATGGAAAGGATTTGGCGCTGGTGCCGAAAAATTAATTATGTCATTGTGGGCCTTCGTATATTACTTATGGCCGGGCGGAGACCGCCACAAGCAGGGCGAACACAGCGAATACCCTGGGCAGAGAAAAAAAATAAGAACATAAATAGTTTAGGAAATACCTGGGAGAAAGAAGGAGAGAAGGAAAACACACGAAAAATAAAATGCGCAAGTGGCCAAAATGCGCAAGAGGCCATTGATGATAAATGCCATGTTAATTATTAAAAAAAGTGACATATGAGTGACGAATGTCTCTTATAATGGCTCTTGGTAAATGCCAATTTTTGTGGAGTAATCCCTGCATTTGGTGCTTAATATTCAAATTGAACGAGCTAAAAAGTTGGAAAAGTGCATAGTGGTTTAAATTATATACTAATCAATGCATTAGGGTTGACACAATCGTACTATAACTTGCCAAAAGTTGACATTTTTTTTCAGGTTAGGCCAGTAAAGGAAGGATCAGTGAACATTTCCACGACGACAGAGAAGAATTTTAACCTAATAAAATCGTTCAAAGTTAACAAGATCGAGGAGTAAAAAGCCCACCTCATGTTGAGTGTTGAGTCAGGACCGGTTAAGATGAGGTTCTGAGCGGGAATGCGCGCAGCGTACCTGTACAGTTTCTCACCTGCACAGGTGACAGGACATCCACCTACGGATGTTTGATCACAGGTGTGCAAATTTCCGATGTTTGCCTACAAAATTGGTATATTCTATTTATCTACTATGTTTGCCAAGTCCCAGAAATGTTAAGATGGCATTTCAAAACTGGGCTTTTTACATGAACGGAAAATTTGCAATTCGTCTGTACAATATACAGAAATAGTGCTGTTGGTTATAGTCAAACTTTTTGTGCGCTTCGTTGTCTTTTATGAACTTTTCATTCCCGAAAGCTGTCCGGGCCTGTGACCATAGCATAACACAGCGTCTATATGATATAGCCTCCATAGCACGCAGAAGACGGGGTTTTGGGGGTCTTCAGGGTCTTTGGGAGCTTTTATGTGCCATTTTCTGATTGCATATAGACTACATAGCCAGCCTGGTTGAATTACCCCAGTCAGAAAACAGCCGAAGACCACCAAACCCCCAGTTCTATAAGCCTGCTACGGAGGCTAACGTCTATAACTGAACTGCGTGTGATGTTGCGACGTTAGTAGGCACTTTGTCATCCAAAAGGTCATCTAGGGTCAAGGATTTAGCCCCCCCCCCAAAAAAAACTGCATAGCACATGGCACAGAAAAGATGTTTGCTCACAAAGTTAGTTTTTGTTATCTGTAAAATTTGTCAAGTCACAGTAACTTTGTGCGTCATCTATGCCTCTATGTTATAACTATACTGTAGCTTACATGTACGTCGGTGAAGGTCAGACATCCACTAGCAGGTAGTAAGCCAAAAACAGTTACTCAATCGATCAAAAAACTGGATATGATTTTGGAAAGGTTCTCGACCGTTTCCAAAATTTTTGCCCGTACGTTTCCAAAATCATATCCATCCAGTTGCTTGTGTAATGAGTAACTGTTTATTATACTCCTATAATCCCGTGGGCTACGACTGACATTGGTAGTGTTTTTTTTTCTAAACTACAAATACATTGTAGCCTTGGAGGCACAAAGTTTAGGAGCCAGTAATAAGTCTTGAGTAAAATAAGCAGATCAATACAAATGCGATAAACCTATTGCTTGCACTACTATATACACCATTAAGTGTTCGCGTTCTTCTTTACATTGTGTGAGAGTAACCATTAGGATCAGTCACTACAGCTGGCAGGTTCACATTGGTTATCACTGTAAGGTTAGGACCTCTTCGATTCAGACGCACAGAACTGTTAAACATAGAAGATAACGTGACGGTTTGTAAGAACTTTTCTGGCACTACATCAACCACAAATTTAAAGTTTTCCAACATTTTAAGCAGGTGTAATTATTTACTGTTATAATCAAAGGCTTCTTCACCCATTCACACTTGTATGGTTTTCCTAAAAATAAATTTTAAAAAATATCTTTTTTTTTCTTTCTTTCATCATATGCTTCTGAAGAACCAAACAAGACTTGCTATAATTTCTAATGGTCTTGACAACCAAATCTATATCTCAGAATGTGCATTGCATTAAACACTTCATGTTATTATACTTCATCTAAATATAGTATTAATATATTAAATATGTTTTTTCATCAACTATCTTTAACTGTTAGAAATCTTTTGTTAGAGACTTTCATTAACAAAACGACAAATAAAGTAAAAAAAACACAATGACCAAAGCTTTTCTTTGCAGAATACATGATGTGTTTATCTTTTTTCCTCCACATTATAACAGGCACTTCCTACACACCTGCATGGATCTTTCCTCCCACTAACACATAACAACACTGTAGCTTCCCATTTAAGCCTTGGTACAAACCATGTCAGAAAGTTCATTCCTCCCTTTTACGTAAGCATTAGGTACACATACAGGACATAAGAAATATTTTCAGATTGCGTACTAACATGTACATGTACAGTTACAGGTAAGCATATTGTATAATCTTTATACCAATACGTTTTATAAGGAAAGTTTGTGTTGTTGAGAAGTTATGCGAAATGTTGTGCAAAGTTTAGAAGCTTTATGCACTTAAGTTAACACACTTGCTTCTATGATATATTATAGCATATGTAGGCATACTTAAGTCAAGGCAATGAAGATATGTCAACAAAGATATGTGAGTAAATGTAGAGAAAACGCCAGAAATGGCAATTGACTATTGCAAACAATTTCTGCACATAACCAAGCATGGAATGTCCACTGAAACGAAAATTATGTCGGTTAACATGTACAAAGCACACAGAGTAGAAAGTATCACTGACATTAACTGAATATTAACTGAATCCAAATCCATTTCTTGTGGTCAGTGCTAAAAACAAAAAATAAACCTGAACCATAACCGTAATTGTAACACAGAATACGTTAGAAATCAAGGACAGGAAACACTTAGAAACCAAAAAAAAATGCTCCAAGTTACAAACATAAGGCCTTAAAACAGCAACATAATTGTCAAGCTTTGGAAGTTACAAAATGCTGATTAACATTGCACAAACCCAGCTATAGTATAATGTTAAGGGCTTGTTTGTAATCGAACAAAAACAAAAACAAAATGTCTGTATTTCTCTGTAAACATAAATGTATGTGGTGTTGCACATCACCTGTTGAGGAAAAGTATTCTGTAAAACCCCTTACACAGCCCTTTCTTCTTAAAGTATATCTGAGAGAAATGTGTAACAAGATTCTGACACCGCTTATTCCACATCGCTACATTCCTAACCAATATCACAGCTGCTACATATGGCTACAAAATGGATACAATGTTGCAATCAACCGATTACCATGATATTCTGTAACATCAAGGATACATGTAGACATAACTATACAGTCCACAGGACCAATATACTCATCACAACATAGCTACAAAATTTGCGAAGTTTTAGTGCATGATTAGAGACAGGGTTGCAAAAACACTTTTAACTTTTAAACTGTTACAATCAAGTTGGAGGGGGGGGGACAAATACTCTAGTACTTGGGGCAAATGGACAGCAAAAAGGGATTCTATATCTTCAGATTATAAAGTATGGCACCGCTTGATATAATATGAAATGTTTTTACTTTTTAGTGTGTGCAAAAAAAAGTTAACATAACCCCCCTCTGCACACCAAGGAATGATCCAGTCCACTATGACATCATCAAAGGGTCAAAGGTCAATATACCACCATTGAACAGGCAACCCAGCCACAAATATACTTGTAGATATAATTTTTTTCCTGTAAAAGGCTTTTTAGTTAATTTCAAAGCTCACAAAAAAGAAATCATGGCAAAAAATAATAATTTCTTACTATTAGTATACTATGCTATGTTCACACAGGTTACATAATACTAGTACTCAATACTTTATACTGCCACAATCTCTTCTTTCCCTCAAATCCTGTTTTCTAAAAAAAAACATTGTGCCCGAATCAGTCTAGCTGGAAGCACCAAAAACTCTTTTCCGATATATGAAGAAATAATACATTTCATACAAGTATTTTATCCTATTCTTTTTACATAGCCATATAGATTAATATATATATAACAGAATTCAGCTTTGTATAAGTTATAGGTGAAAAGCAATACACACATTTTGCCGGGTTTTAGATTTTTTTCCCTTTCACCACTACATAGTGAGCCCCACAGTTTTTGCACTTCTGTATGGGGATATGCCAGTACACTGTGAGGCTAAGAGAAAGAAATATGTTGATTTTTAGTGTCAGAATATTTGGCAAAGACTTGTTTTTACAACCATTGTGAGCAGAGTTGAGTTCCAGTTAACCAGATTTCAAATTTGCATGTGAAAAACTAAGGCCACACCATGTTTATCTGTTGGTTCTCGGATTAATTTTTTTTTGATTTCCAAAAAAAAGAACTTCGGTTCTGAATCAACTCAAATATGCTTATATTTTACCCCCAACAGTTGAGGAAAGTCCTTTTCTTCCTAGTTGTTACAGTTTTTTTTCATCTATCAATGCACTGGTTTAATTAAAAGTTCATTGTTTAAATATTAACCCAGCCTTTTGTGTTGACTTCATGGCTCCTATGATGTAGCATTCGGGGCTATAATAGGCTGCCTAGACCTGTCTTTCTTTTTTTCATCCTGCCGCTTGGTATTTTTTTCTGAAAAAATCCAAGAAACAACAAATTAAATTGGTGTGGCCTAAGCTGTATTCTACTATTTTACATGTTATAATATTGAGGTGTGGCTTTTGTCTTTTGTGGCAAGGACAGCGAAAAATGCTTCTTATATAGACTCTACTGACAGACAAAATATTAATACTTTTCACCATTTTACGTTATTGCAAAAGTCCGTCCCCATCATACACACATATACACGTACCAATATACACCAGCATGTCAGCAGAACACACTGCACCTGGGCGAAACTGCAGATTGGTAAGTTTTTGTTGGATGTTTGGTCAACGTTGCAGCAGAATTTTGTCCATTGCTGACAATATCTTTTCAGACACAACGTTTCAAAACTATAGAGAGAATATCATCTGGGCGAAACCTGATTTTCACGGTTTTTGTTGGATGTTTGATCAATGTTGCATCAGAATTTTTCCCATTGCTGATGATATCTTTTCAGACACAACATTTGAAAACTATAGATGGGATATCATCCTGAAATACACGAATACCACCTTAAAAGAGACATGCTGCCAAAGTGCAGTGCACAATACATTATGGGTGCACCCAGATTTTAAGGTTTTCATTGGATTTTTGGTCAACGTTGCATCAGAATTTTGCCTGTTGCATATGTTTTCAGACACAACATTTGCCAATACAACCTTAAGAGAAACTTTCTGCCAAAGTGACGGAGGCTATTTACATCAGGGCCCACCACCCTTCACTTAACCGCGGCAGGGGCCGACATCGTCTACCAGACAGATTTGACCCAGTGTTGACGTCACACTTCAAAGAAGCCACGTGACAAGCTTCACTGGGTCAGTCTACTGAGGAAGACCAGAGTGACTGGTCAAAAGCTCTAGGTGAGAGAACTTTGTGTTGGATCAAAAGTTTTAACCTTAAACAGGTTTTGCACAGGTGCAGTACGTTCTGCCGACGTGCTATATATACCCCCCATATAGCCCGTATCTCTAGCTCTGTCCCTTTTCGAATTCTCCCTGTGTCTCGATGTCCACTCGGCAGATCGGACATTTCTTGTTTGTCGTCAGCCATTGGTCGACGCAGACGATGTGAAAGAGGTGCATGCAGGGTAACCGCCTGGAAGAGACAAAAACAATCTTCTGTTTGATGAAATGACTTTGACTTAGGCTTTTACTGACAAATAGGAAATGTATGACCATTCTTGTCTTTCTTTTTTTAAGTAACGTAGTAACCCTACCTTGATGTGGTGGACAGACCCAGATGGAAGGGTAAAAGTTATGGGCATATGTCGTGCAATGGCCAAGTGGGTACAGTGCTCTCCTTGCATTCGGTAGGTCATGAGTTCGATCCCTGGCTGAGTTATGTCAAAGACTCAGCACTCAGCATTTGAGAAAGAGTATGGGAGTTACTAGTAAACACACCACCACCAGTGGACTAGCCCCCTGCTGTAGTGACTGCACAATTGTGTGGCCTAAGGGCTACGAAACGGAGATGGGCGCCGCCGTATGCAACCATGCTTATGCCTGCGGGGCTTTAACTTAAGGATATGTAAGTAGCCCACCTGACGTCCTCTCCCTGCATGAAGTGAGACAGACATATCGTACACTTCTCATCCTCATCACCGGCTGAGCCGGCCGTGTCTTCCTCCGCAGACGCTGCTTTATGCTGGAAATGAAACATATAAAAAATACATCATGCTAATGCTAATTAAAGCTGAATGATATCCGTAAAAGAAGGCTGAGGTGGTTTATCCACATTCAGACTCTTTTCTATATGGGGCCTACATGTACCACCAGGACTTTAAAAACTCCAGACTGCTGAACAAAAGACCGTGCTGCCTGGCGGGAAAAATTAAGATGAGCAGGGGACCAGTTCTGGCCTAGGCATTTAGGCTGGTAGGCAAAGCTGAAAAAGAGTATGAAATGCGCAAGGGTTTTTTTTAAGATAATTCCGGATATAACTACAACTAGCAATTTGACAAGCTAAGAACATCATACTCACAAATACTGTTATAGCTCTAGAAATGAGTATTTTGAGACCTTTTTACATAGTAGAGTTGGAAAAATATGAACTGCTTACCTTCTGGTACTTGTATGGAAATGTGTTTCTTTCGATTGTGCTGCAAAAACAGAGGGAGGGGGACGTGACGTTAGAACTTACTCACATTTACTCACATTCATCACCTCTGGGTCACACATGAAGTTATGTTTTACATTTTATAGACTGAATAGGCAACAAAAGAAATGTGATTGGATCACCAGTCAGAGATGAATTTTGAAATGATACTCTCTGGACACACACACGTACCTTTGTGAGGCACCTCTGTTGACTTGTCCGAGGTGTTGTTCTAACTGCATAAGGTCCTGAAAAACAAACACAATCATTGTTACCATGGTGACAGACGTCTGGTTCAGGTCATTGACCTTATTGGTTTGGAGAAGAAGAAACTGAGCAAAAACAATATGTTTTCTTCCTGCAAAGGTAAACATAAAGATCGAAAGACTGAATGGACCTATACCATTATTACGTCACTGTTTGTTCACCGCAATGAATGCCGGTCAATCGACGTTTATATTGTACAGGGGTGCGTAGCGCGGTGTGTGTTTGTGTAGCATTAGCCTAACATAAGGCTTTTAATACAGTACTGCTTTCGTCTAATGTCACAACTAAATCACCCATGCGGCATGTAATGCTGTGTCAACACAACTAGACGCAGCAAAAAATCAGACATACATTACTTTGAAAACTTTGAAATGATCTTTCTTCTTTAACTGACCGTTCTAGAATGTTCTTTAGAACAGGTAAACAAACTGTGATGTAATAATGGTATAGGTCCATTAGGTTACCAGTTGTTACAACTCACCTCGAAGGTTGGTCGGCCGAACATGAAGTGTAGCGGCCTGCCAATCATCCCGGTCGGCATGGGCGGCATGGGGGGCAAGTGCATCATGGGAGGAGGCTGGAAATAACAGGTCAAAGGTCAACATGACACAATTGTAGATCACCCGGTTTGAGCAACATGAAGAAAACAGCGAACAGTATGACATCAGGGAAGAAACTTTGATGCAAGTGCTGATGGAAAATACTAGGACTACTCTTTCATAGGTTTGATAGATCACTACATAAAAAAACAGCTATGAGCCTATGAGTCACCCGTATGGTGCATATTCTCTATTTTTGCTCACAGAGACCTGTCAATGCCAACGTTAAAAATAACTAATGCCCTCTGAGAGAACAAATGACTGCACATGAAGATAAAAAAACAGACCAAAACGCCTTGTTCTTGACATTAAAAAGATTGCACAATCATGCTAATGATAGAAGTCCTACTAGCTATACTTATGATAGGTCCATAGTTGATGCCATGTGTACATGTCTGACTGTTCTATCTAACTCTCCATCACTACATGTTAGAGTAATACTTACGATTGGTCCATAGTTGACGTGCACATGTGGCACGTTGAAAGGTGCCATGCGAGGAGGGGAGGGGTGGAAGTGGTGCCAGTGCTGGTGCACGTGTCTGTGTTCAGCCTGCGGTGCCATCGGACCTCCGTCCATGTACGGTTCCCTGTTGGTATGGCAAAGGGAGAGAGATCTCACATAGTTACATCATCATACGGTGCTTTCTTCTACAGTATACAATCCTTATTTGATACATTAAAAGGGAGACAGAGAGACACAGAGAGAGAGACAGAGAGAGACAGAGACAGGGACAGACAGAGACAGAGAGGAGAGACAGACAGATAGAGAGAGACACACAGAGAGAGAGACAGAGAGAGACAAAAACAGAGGCAGAAAAGACAGATAGAGAGAGAGACAGAGAGACAGAGACAGAGAGAGAGACAGAGAAAGACAGAGAGACAGAGAGAGACAGAGAGAGAGACAGAGAGAAACAGGGACAGATGCAAAGAGAGACATAGAGAGAATAAGACAGAGAAAGACAGAGAGACAGAGAGAGACAGAGAGAGAGACAGAGAGAAACAGAGACAGATGCAAAGAGAGAGACAGAGAGAGAGACAGAGAGAGAATGAAACAGCAACTTACGTAGGGTCCACAGGAACAGGCTGTTCGCTCCATGTTCTCCCCTCCATCTGTCGCTGCATGTGGAACTGCATGGCCTGCTGTTGAGCTGCTCGGTCGCCAGGACGACTCTGGAGGTGAGCTGTCATTCGCCGACGCTGCTGCTCCTGCATGCGCTGTAAAGCACGGCAATTGTTTTGGGTGTGTCTGTCTGTGTTTCTGCAACTTTGTGGTCAGCATAACTTCAGAACCCCGTTGTGGATTGTGATAATATTTGCTATGTTCGTATTAGTCTTAGGAAGACGAAGGTCAAGGCCAAATATGGGCCTCCTGGAGGCTGACCTTGGTGCTGCAGCAGAACTTTTTGTATCTTTTGTCCTCAACATGCTATGGTCTTGACTTTTTAGTGAAAGATAGCTTTTCCTATCAGAAATAAGTGGTGTGGGTTTGGTCCCCCTAGCAGCTTGTTCTAGAACTGCAGGGGACTTTCTGGCAAAATCTTATAAAGCTGATAAGTCCAGATAGGAACTATGTATTTTTGTTTACCTGTTGGACAGCTAGGAGCCGCTGATGCATGATGGGAACCGGGGTGTGTCCGACCCAGGCATAGCCGGGGGGAGGGGCACCCGGGTTAGAGTCTGCCTGGGGGGGTGGGGGTGGCACAGGGGGGGTCGGGTAGGACGTCAAACCAGGGGGGTGGGTCTGGGTGGGTCCTGTAGGGGGTCCGGAGTGAGGTGGTAAGAGGGGTGGTGGCGGGGGAGGGGGCAGAAGGGTTGGAGTGGGAGAGTTGGTCCGTAGGGAAGTAGGTAGGGGGGGTTTGATGGAAGGGGTGGAGAAGAGAGAAGGGGGGAGTCACTGGGGGCGGTAGAAGAGGAAGCTGAGCTTGCGTTGAGGA